GTCCACTCGGCAGATGGAGAAATTGTCAATTTTGACCACGTTATCATCAATTTCGTTGTGGAGCCAGGTTTCCTGAAGCATTACGACTCCAACCTTCGAATATTCATGTCTCCTTGTCAGATCTATTACTTCTTCCATGTTGCCAAGCAGGGAGCGCACATTTCCACTGATGACTGCTGGAATGCAGATGTCTGAAACTGATCGTTTGTGAAGTGCGACCTGCCATCCAGCTCTGTGTTTTCTGGGAAATGTTTTGAGATTTCCGTAAATTCTTCTCTCCCTGTTACGAACCAATTTGCCAAAAGAAGGTAAAATCCGGTGGCCAGAAGTTCGAAGTTGCTTCATGAAAACGGCAGAGTATTTCACAGAATTTACGATGACCACAATCACACAACGTTTCTATGGCAACGAAGGACGTGTATCCCAGATAAATCCATTGAAGAGTGATTGTATAGTTCCGAGTCCGACGATGTAAGGGACCGCGCGGCCAATTTCGAAGGCCCCGCTGTGTTATTGCCATCATACATCATTACATCACTTAATCCATTATGCGAATTTCATGTGTTTGTTAAAGTTTTGAAGAAATCCGTTGCATGAGTTTATGATGTGCGGTAGTTGTTTGTCTGTTCATATATAATTTGGATGACCAAACAAAGAATTGTTATGAGTTTGTAGAGACCCCAACCAGGGGATTCAGTCATGGGGTATCGCATTTGAGATCCTCGTTAGGGGCTTTGTGACCAACCTAATCAGGTGTTAGAGAAACTGGGTTGAGTGTCGTAAACAGTGATGGACACATCTAATTTATCGATTTTCTGTATCATTATCTTGACACTACACTTAGCCTCTCAACTCGTTCATTTACTCTTCTCCGCTTCTGACCAACTAAGGTGGATAGATGAAAGATAGTTACGAAAACCGACACACCTGAAAATGCATGATCAACGTCCGTGTAGAAATGAACCTAGACCATTATGGTTGACTTATTCCTGAATTAGTTTTAGCGAAAAGCTTTTTTTAAGGCGTTTGTCACATTACTCACAGTACTACTGTGCGGAGTAAAGTCTGAGGATAATTTCGAGAAACTCTTCATCACATGCACATGATTGGGAGGAAACCTAAAGCAATCATCTGGTGGTCATCGGCACGAGTTTACTGCCTTTGGACCATAGTTTAAAAATCGAGTGTTTTATTCAGTCAGAGATTTTCCAGTTTCGCTCAGTGATCAGACATGTATGATACAGAGCGCTTTGAATGTTATTTACTTACCTGCTCAAACTGCTAATGAAATTTCATCCATGGTTTCCAGTGCGTTGGCATAGAAACCACATCCTTGTTACAAAGAAAACCTGACCGTTGTCGTTAAATGATCAGAAGCATCTCAGGCAGATGATGCTCCCTGATGAGGAATAGTCAATTGAGAACTGTGCCGTCTGAAGTCTCTCAAACTTCTACAACAACCATCCGTGATTCATTATGCTTGTCAAGCAGATGACGTGCATAGTGGTCCGCCTAGACTGAGATGCACCTAGCAGTTCACAAAACGGTGCAGATTGGCGCACTTCAGGCGTCTGGTTTTAGAATAGCCACCGCCACCACCATCAATACTGCCAAAATAGTCACAGTGGTTATTGGCTAGACACTGGGTGAAAGGCCTTTATGGGAGGGGACGAAGTGAAGCCAGACCAAAGTGAGCCCCCAAAGAGGAACGGTGAAATATGAAATGTATGTGTTCATGCGCGCGCGCACTAAGCTGTGGAAGGGGAGATCTCAACTCGCGGTGATAAAGGATGTGCACTCGGTCTGCGGAAGGTCGTCATCATCATCATCATCATCACACAGTCATGTTTAGATGGCTGCTATGTGATAAGACCCCATCGATGTGGTGTCAAAACAATACATGTGTAAAGAGCAACGAATCGGTAAGGAGTACGCAGTGAAACAAATGATGAGTAGTGAAGCTACCGAGGCTTCAACCATTTCATCAACTCCATCATCACAGCTCCATCTCACCGTTTAACTCTGCGAGATGGGAACGTATATCCCAAGATGTACCGTGATTGGAACAATCGAAGAGAATGCGAGATGCGTTTCTGTGTGTGAGTGTATGTGTGTGCGTGTGTGTGTGGTTGGGGTTGGTGGATATGTAAAGAGGTGGGAGAAGGTGCGCGCGCGCCCACATACACGCACTTACCTGTGACCGTGCAGATCGGTCGCAGTGATAAAAGTCGCCGATTAAGGGGTCCGAATTAGTGTGGTAGGAACTATAGGGTTGTAATGGCACAGAACTTCGGCACAGTAACTGTCTGCAGGTAGGTGGATATCGATGCATTCATGCATGCACGATGCCACTGTGCATACGAGTCTTGTGACAGCTTGAGCTGTGTGCCACTTCGGTATCCGGCGCATAGAAATGTCCTGAACACACTGCGTGATGAATGATGAGGTGGTGCTTAGCTCTGGGGTGCCGTCGATGAAATTCGAATTCGACTTGGGCTCAGCGTAAATGTCTGCCACAATGAGATATTGACAAGAACAGAAAACTAACCAGGTCTGACATGTGAAGTTATTGGTAAATTACGGCATTATCTTGGTTGGATACAAAACAGTCTTTATGAAAACAAATCAACAAGAGACAGTGCACTAATCAAAGCTTGAACCCAACTAACGATTTCGGGGCCAGTAAATACTCTTGTTCTGAATTATTTCTTTGTACCTGATAAACGGAAGGATAATTCTTTCTAGTTTTTACACTAAATTAGCGATTGTTCTCTGCATTATTTTTAGCAATAACAATTAAAAGCCTTCACCTGGTAGTGTGCAGGTCCCGGAAGCGCATCCTCTGGCTTTGTCGGTTTGAACCGTTCCGATTGATAGACGAATTTGCCCGACTTCTCATTCAGCGCACTCGGTATACAGTATTCTGACGGTCCTGTGGAAAGTACAAGCAAAAGGAAGCAGTTAACCGGCAGCTTTTGACGATGCACTCGACCAATGCAAAATGAACACGGTCTGGATTGAGCAGTGGTGTCAGTTCGATTGACTTTGGTGTGACATGCAACCAGTTTGAACTACATTTCCGCTGAACAGTTATTGAAGAAACTAAGAACGTGTTCGGCAGACATTTCTGATAGCATTTCACAGTAGAATTCAAGGTGCAATGAATACAACAGTTGCCACATTTGGGCGCGGGTATTTACTTGCCGGTTAAGTTCGATTAGAGGATTGTTTGATTTAACAAAAGAACCACAATATGAAAACCTGAGCATTAAGTATTGTCATCGCACTGATGGGAAGGATTTTATTATAAGGGTAGTTGTCTTCAAAACATATTATCTGGTTTACGAAGATTTCACTCTGAGTCCATTACAAGAATATTAATCCAGTCAGAGAGTAATACTCTGACTGCTAATGTCTTCTTCAACATTGGACCACATACAGCGCCGTGAGATGAAGCCTATTGATATAGGAGTATGGATTTCGTTTTATAATAGACCGCGTGCAGACGATAGCTGTAATCACCAAGCATATAAACGCTCAAACATTATTGATAATCGAGTTTGGCTCTTTCCAGAGATCCGATGACGATTTCGAATAGGTGAGAATTAGCTTGAGAATACTTTTAAATTCCTTTTCAACGAGTTAGGACATGCAGACTAGGTACGAGGAATTCGTATTCGTATGATGATTTCGTCGTGTAACTGAGGCGCGAGCTGAAAAGCTTTACTCGCATACAACAAATAATCAGGTTGTTAAGGTTTCCAACCGAGTCATAACCCACCGGAGGCCAGTGCTGAGATGAGCGAGGACCGATACTCACATCAAACTCGCATAGATGGGTTGTGCTATACCGTGTATATTCGAAATGAGAAACAGTCTGATCATCTGCTCGGTGGCCGAGTGGGTAGAATGCTTACGTTCTGTCTCTAAGGTTCCGGATTTGACCCTCAGTTGGGTACGAATCCACTGGATTCGTACTGCGGATGAGACCCGACCAGGTCATAACAGCTGTCCCGTGCTTCCCAGTTTTTCAGCTCACGTCTCATTACCGTAACGAATTCTTCATTTAAACAAATTGAATTCAGACTTGTTGAACAGAATAAACCTTCCAGATCACGCTGAACATGAACGAAAATAATTATTAATAATCGGTAGGATATTTTCATTCACACATCTTAGCGCATATCTCACGTTCAACATGAGTGGTGCAAACCAGTTTTTCCCTATAACAATAGCAAAATAGCTTGATCTAACAACTGTATTCCTAAGGGTACCAGATGAAAACGATCAGTTGTTTTGACATGTGACAAACGCATTTTAGATAATGAAAGCAAAGTGGTTACCGGAACAGAAAAGTTCCTTGTTGCAGCTTTGCATCGAGGATTTCAAGTAGAATACCTGGTTTATTTTCAATCGTTAGGACTATTTGTGATAAGAATACCAAGCAGCATTTGTATTCAGATTTGCCTAACTTCTGTAAGCCAATTATGAAACTGAATAAAAAATGCAAGCTGAAAAACTGGCAGGGTGCAAAGTACCACCAGAGTTTGATTTATGCACACAAATTATGACGTTATTCAATAACAATTTGTGCCTTGTTGGCTAGGAATCGGGCCAGGTAAGGTATAGGGGGACTGTTGTAAACGGTAATATGGAAGGGCATATGTTGAAAAGAGGAGAATGTGAATGAATGGGAGCAAAAGGAAGATAAATCAAGATGCAATGAATGAATAGACTCATCACGAGTCTTTCCGGTGAATTTGATCTGACATGACTATTTGTAAGTTCCGTGAATTACGAATGCACCAAAAACAAGGATACACGATTGACTATCAGCAAACCACAACAAATTGTCTTGAAGTTTAGTTCTAAGAGGNAGAGGTTCGGAAACACTAGGTTATACGGTCAAACTGGGAAAACGCATTTTCGAACGTAAGAGGATCAAACTGACTGCGGGGTTCGGAATTACCTGAGTTTTCATAGCTGAAACGAAAGGCTTTTCACTTTCCCCATACAATTGGGAATGTTTGGACCACCGGGGAGTATTATTGATGGTGACACCCAGGTACTTGACAGAGGTTACTATAGACAGACAATTACAGTTAGGGATGCAGAGTCAATTGGAAAAGTAGAAAGAGAAACGGTGAACTTGTACTTGGATGTGGAAAGACTAAAATAGCCTAAGATAAGGAATAGATTTTCGGCATCAGGCCCGGAAGATCACTAACGGAATCAGAAAAAAGGTACTAACAAAGAAAAGGGCGTTTGAGCATAGGGGCTTAACCCTTGACTAAAGGATCATACCTGAATATTTTTGAAAGGTATCAAACAGGGGAGTCTGTAGGCAGAAATAAGTTTATCTTACCACAAGCATTTTCCCCATTCATGGTATTACAACAATTGGCCTGT